ATCCCAGCACTTTGGGAGGCCGAGACGGGCGGATCACGAGGTCAGGAGATCGAGACCATCCTGGCTAACACAGTGAAACCCCGTCTCTACTAAAAATACAAAAAACTTAGCCGGGCGAGGTGGCAGGCGCCTGTAGTCCCAGCTACTCGGGAGGCGGAGGCAGGAGAATGGCGTAAACCCGGGAGGCGGAGCTTGCGGTGAGCTGAGATCCGGCCACTGCACTCCAGCCTGGGTGACAGAGCGAGACTCCGTCTCAAAAAAAAAAAAAAAAAAAAAAAAAAAGATCCTAGTAAGTCAAGATTCTTATGTGGAGCAAGGGAAAGTTCTTGAGAATGCCTCCTTGGAGAATACGTCCTCCAATCCCCTGCCACAGAGAGCCCTCTAATTGCTAAGGCTAGAGAATCTTCTACAAAAGGAATATGGGTATTAGAACTGATTGCTGTTTACTCTGTGAAATTATTACTTTCAGAAGAAATCAGATTTTTTTTTTAAGGCTCTACAAACATGTAATGGTTGGGTTGCTTTAATGGGGAAATTTACAAATTCAGTGTTTTTTTGGATGATAATTGTGGTCTGGTACTTGACAATTAGATTAAACAGTTCTTCTCTGGACTTCATTATCAGGAAAGTTAGAGATCATCTTGGATGTTTCATACCAAGGTGCTGAAATTTAAGATTCTCCATTCTTTTTGTAGAGACAGGGTCTCTGTCACCCAGGAGTACGGTGGGGCCATTTTGGTTCACTGCAGCCTTGACTTCCTGAGCTCAAGCAATCCTCCCGCCTCAGCCATCCAAGTAGCTGGTACCACAGATGCATGCCACTACGCCTGGCGAAGTTTTTAATTTTTTGTTGGGGTGTATATGACTATCTCCTTATATGTCAGTGATTATTGGAAGGACTTTTGTCCTTTATTTTTCTTATATCACCAAGTCCAACACTAGTTTGAGTTCGGTCATTTCCACAGATTAGGCAGTGGTTCTGAAAGTATGCCAACCATGTGGCTGCACTGCTAAAACAAATAATGGTAGTGCTCTGTTCATCATGGTCTAGTCAAGAAAGCACAACCACAGGGGAATTTAATTACAGGAAACTGATGACGTAATGTTGAAGGGCTGAAAGCACAAAGGGAGAAATTTGTAACTTAAGGAAACAGCTAACACTCTAGAGCTTGGAGAACAAAAAGGAAGAGATGGATTTGCCACAACCTAAGAGCTCTGAGGAGGGGATCTCAGCCCGGCAGTAACTGGTTTTGGCAGTCTAGTGCCTAGGGAAAGATAAAGCATAATTTTCTTTGGCCTTTCTTATTAAGATCTTTTAAATGAATCCATACTGTAGTATTAATGCCAGTGAAGAACCTCTCTACACAATAATTCATGAATTTCAAATCCATATAAATAAAAAATCCGGCCAGGCGTGATGGCTCATGCCTGTAATCCCAGCACTTTGGGAGGCCAAGATGGGTGGATCACAAGGTCAGGAGATCGAGACCATTCTGATTAACACAGTGAAACCCCGTCTCTACTAAAAATACAAAAAAATTAGCTGAGCATGGTAGCAGGCACCTGTAGTCCCAGCTACTCGGGAGGCTAAGGCAGGAGAATGGCGTGAATCCGGGAGGCGGAGGTTGCAGTGAGCTGAGATCACGCCATTGCACTCCAGCCTTGGCAACAGAGCGAGACTCAGTCTCAAAAAAAAAAATTCTGGAGAAGATAATTTGCATTTAATGGGTGACTTCTAAGATCCAAGAACTGTGTAATTTCCTTTGTAAATTTTCTCATTTGTTACAATACTAAAAAATTAATATTTTTATCCAATCTTACAGTTGGGGGAACTGGAGTACAGAGGTGTGACAACTTAAAAAAGTCCAGATATGCTGGTATGGGACAGGAAGCAGCACTATTTACTTCTCTTTGGCATACATGCCCATGAAGGTAATAAGGCTGATCTTCCTTCATCAGAGCAGTGGTCTTTAAAATGTTTTGCTCTATTCCTCTTGAAACAATTTCAAAAAATAATAAAGCCTTTTTACATTGTTAAATAATGCAAAGATATCATTTTTAGCATTTTTTGTGTGTGTGTGAGATGGAGTTTCACTCTGTCGCCCAGGCTGGAGTGCAATGGCACAGTCTCGGCTCACTGCAACCTCCACCTCCTGAGTTCAAGTGATTCTCCTGCCTCAGCCTCCCAAGTAGCTGGGACTACAGACACGTGGCACCACACCTGGCTAATTTTTGTATTTTTAGTAGAGATGGGGTTTAGCCCCGTTGGCCAGGCTTGTGTCGAACACCTGACCTCATGATCCGCCCGCCTTGCCCTCCCAAAGTGCTGGGATTACAGGCATGAGCCACGGTGCCCAGCCTCTAGCATATTTTTAATACTGATATTTTAAAATAAGATTTTTAGGCTGGGCACTGTGGCCCATGCCTGTAACCCCAGCACTATGGGAGGCCTAGGCGGACGTATCACTTAAGGTCAGGATTCAAGACCAGCCTGGCCAACATGGTGAAATCCCCTCTGCACTAAAAATACAAAAATATGCCGGGCGTGGTGGCGGGTGCCTGTAATCCCAGCTGCTCAGGAGGCTGAGGCAGGAGAATCGCTTGAACCCAGGAGGCAGAGGTTACAGTGAGCCAAGATCATGCCACTGCACTCCAGCTTGGGCAACAGAGTGAGACTCTTATCTCAAAAAACAGTAATAATAGGACGGGCGTGGTGGCTCACGCCTGTAATCCCAGCACTTTGGGAGGCCAAGGTGGGCGGATCATGAGGTCAGGAGACCGAGATCATCCTGGCTAACACAGTGAAACCCCGTCTCTACTAAAAATACAGAAACAAAATTAGCCGGGCATGGTGGCGGGCGCCTGTAGTCCCAGCTACTCAGGAGGCTGAGGCACGAGAATGGCGTGAACCCGGGAGGCGGAGCTTGCAGTGAGCTGAGATCGCACCACGGCACTCCAACCTGGGCAACAGAGTGAGACTCCATCTCAAAAAAAAAAAAAAAAAAAACCCAAGTTATAATAAATAAATAAAAAATAAAATAAGATTTTTATATCATTCTTTAAAACCCATGCAGTGGAATCTAAATATCATTGCAATTTTATAACCACCATCATTCATTAAACATACATGAGCCAGCTCTTTTTTAACATTTATAGGTGCATGCACTGTATCTTTTTCTTATAATCATTTCCATTCCACTTTTGTCACTGAAATTTTATCTTAATATAATAATTGATAGGTCAGGTGTGGTGCCTCAGGCCTGTAATCCCAGCACTTTGGGAGGCCAAGGCGGGTGTATCACTTGAGGTCAGAAGTTTGAGATCAGCCTGACCAACATGGTGAAACCCCGTCTCTACTAAATATACAAAAATTAGCCAGGCTTGGTGGGAGGCACCTGTAATCTCAGGTATTCAGGAGCCTGAGGCACAAGAATTGCTTGAACCCTGGAGGTGGAGGTTGCAGTGAGCCTAGGTCTCACCACTGCACTCCAGCCTGGGTGATGGAGTGAGAATCCATCTCAAGACAAAACAAAAATAATAATAATAATTGCTTACCCTTAAAAGTCTTAAACTAATTACCATTTTATTTCGCTGTAACAAAAATGAAATTGTACTTTTTTTCTTCCTACCAAAGGTTCTGTCAAAAAATTATAAAGATTCATTTTATTATTATTATTGTTTTTTTAGATAAAGTCTCCCTCTGTCAATAGTGTCTCACTGCAACCTCCACCTCCTGGGTTCAAGCGATTCTCCTGCCTCAGCCTCCCAAGTAGCTGGGATTACAGGCACCCGCCAGACGCCTAGCTAATTTTGTTTTTTTGAGATGGAGTCTTGCTCTGTCGCCTACACTGGAATGCAGTGGTGAGGTCTAGGCTCACTGCAAGCTCCGCCTCCTGGGTTCACACCATTCTCTTGCCTCCACCTCCCGAGTAGCTGGGACTACAGGTGCCCGCCACCACGCCCGGCTAATTTGCCCAGCTAATTTTTGTATTTTTAGTAGATACAAGGTTTCACCATGTTGGCCAGGATGGTCTTCATCTCCTGACCTTGTGATCTGCCCGCCTTGGCCTCCCCAAGTGCCGGGGTTACAGGCATGAGCCATCGCTCCCGGCCTATTTTATTATTATAATTATTATTTCTCAATTGGTCAAAATAATATATTTAACATTTTAATATTATTAAACATACAAAAGGCCACACTTTGGCCCTCCTCTAGTCAAGCAGTTCCCTTCCTGGTGAAAGTCCATAGGCAGAAACATGCCTGTGAAGATCTCACCTTCTTTTCAGACCATGCTCTGGGTATCCAAATTCCTTGGATTTCCTGTTCAAATGGACTCCAGCCTGCTTCCAGAGCCTGTATCTCTTGTGTCCAAAGCCCCTTCCCGCGATCTGTCTTCCAAAGATGCAATGTGCTGCCTATCCACAAAATGTGGCCAAATGAGAGCAATTTGGTAAGGCTGGACAGAGCTTAGATATGCAAACTGGAGTGTCCACATGTGGGAACAGACTTCTTATGATGTGGGACAAGGATGGCGGTGGGAACAGAAGGGGACTGGCTGGGGACCTCCATCTGTACTGTTGACCCAGGTCTCTACATGTCAGTGGCAGGCTTGTTTATGTATAAACTATTTTGGAGACCACTGGTCTTATGATGGTGGTGGTTTGAATTAGGGTCATCACTGGAAGAGGCAATGAGAAATTGTCAGATTGGGATACAGTTTGAGTGTAGAACTAACAGAAGTTGCTGATGCTTGGTTGTGAATATAGGGAAAGAGAGAAGTTCAATATAATGCCTAAATGTCTTGAGCCCCTTGATAAATGGTAGTGTTATTTACTAAGATAGGGGAAAATGAGTATGTGGCAGGTATCTAGGAGGGGGTGGGTGATAAGGTATCATGTTAAGTCGCAGATGCTTGTTGGATATCAAAAGAGTAATATCAAGTAGGCATTTAGATATATGTGTGTGGAGCTCTGTGAAATATTGGTACTAGAGATATGAATTTGGGAATTTCAATTAAGATGCTTTTAATAGGAAGTTATACAATGCTCAACTGAAAGTAGCTTATACAGTAAATATATTTATTTCCCCACTTAGCAAGAAGTTCAGTCGACTTAGCAGGTGACCAGTTGTAGCAAGAATCCTTCTTCCTGCTCTGCAATCCTCAATGTATTGGCAGTGTTGCTTTATGTGGTTGCAAGGCGGCTGCAACAGCTCAGGTACTCACACAATGTCTTCATTCTGTGTCTAGTTCCGGAATGAAATACTTTTGTTTTGTTTTTCATTCTTTCTGGTCTTTTTTTTTTTTTTTTTAAGATGGAGTCTTGCTCTGTTGCCCAGGCTGAAGTGCAGTGGTGCAATCTTGGCTCACCACAACCTCTACCTCCTCAGTTCAAGTGATTCTCCTGCCTCAGCCTCCCAAGTAGCTGGGGTTACAGGTGCGCCACCATGCCCGGCTAATTTTTGTATTTTTAGTAGAGATGAGGTTTTGCCATGTTGGCCGGACTGGTCTCAAACTCCTGACCTCAAGTGATCCGCCTGCCTCAGCCTCCCAAAGTGCTGGGATTACAGGCGTGAGCCACTGCGCCTGACCCGCAAACATTATCTGACTATACTTAGATAACCACTGTTGCATAATAATTAGAACTAAATGAAATAGCTATTTTAAAACTTACTAAGATCAGGCATAGTGGCTCATGCCTGTAATCCCAGCACTCTGGGAGGCCGAGGCGGGTGGATCACCTAAGGTCAGGAATTCAAGACCACCCTGGCCAACATGGGGAAACCCTGTCTCTACTAAAAATACAAAAATTAGCTGGGCATGGTGGTATACACCTGCAATTCTAGCTACTCAGGAGGCTGAGGCAGGAGAATCAGTTGAATCCCGGAGGCAGAAGTTGCGGTGAGCCAAGATCGCACCACTGCACTCCAGCCTGGGTGACAGAGTGCAACTCTGTCTCAAAATAAATAAATAAATAAAAATTTAAAAATAAATAAAATAAGTAAAAACTTACTATGACCTCTTTTAAAATTGAACATTTTAATGGTCACCATAACAGACTTGTGGATTTGAGGTGATATTGTCTCATACTGTTTACCATCTGTTCTTCAAAATTTTCTTTGTGCAGTGTAGTCTACTACTTACCGTGAGAATGGTAGGATGGACAGTGGTTACTCTGGGACAGATTTCTGTTTGTTTTAAACATTTAGAGCTGTCATCTCAGATGGGAAAGATAAGACGATAGTGAATGGCTTTCTAGACACAGACTGGAAAATCATCAAAACAGCAGACTCCGAAGAAACCACATAACTGAATACTTTGTGATGCTTGCCTCCTAATCAACTTCCAAGTTTGCACGCAGATTTTAGTACCAGGCCAGGTCCAGGTGGACAGCTCAGGTTATCTGCCTCAGTTTTCTCTCCTGAGAGGTTCTGAACAGAGGGCCTAATGTCAACAGGGTTGGGGCTGGGGCTGGGCCAAAGGATAGAATGTAGCTTTCTACCCCTTTCTTAGAATTCCTGTTCTCTTTGTGTGGCTCCATGGAAACCGTATTCCAGGGTTTGTATGGAACAGGGTTGGTATCTTTTTAAATCTATTTGAGTCTTCAGGTAGCATTTGTTCTATTTTTTGCTAGCAGTTTTTAACAATTTAATACAAAATCTTAGTTATATGTATGAATTAAATTGAAAGCTGTGTACTATCACACTGGCCTGTATTATTATTTTTGAGACAGTCTCACTCTGTCGCCCAGGCTGGAGCGCAGTGGGCAATCTCAGCTCACTGCAATCTCCGCTTCCTGGGCTCAAGCAGTTCTCCTGAGTAGCTGGTATTACAGCCATGCACCATCACGGCCTGGCTAATTTCTGTATTTTTAGTAGAGATGGGGTTTCACCGTGTTGTCCAGGCTGGTCTTGAACTCCTGGCCTCAAGTGATCCACCCGCCTCAGTCTCCCAAAATGTTGGGATTATAGGGGTGATCTACCACACCCAGTCACACTGGTCTTTAAAAAAAATAAAAAGTTGAAAGCTGTGATATTCTTTCTAAAAGTTAAACACTAAAAGAACATGTTTACCTTTGAAATCATTTTGTGACATGATTTTATGGAAGAGAATAATTAAATTCTAAGACTCTAGGGAAATAAAACTCAATAGTTTTAAAACTATTATAAAATACTTTATCTCAAAGTATTTTTCTTTTTCTTTTTTTTTTTGAGATAGAGTATCGCTCTGTTACCCAGGCTGGAGTGCAGTGGTACGATATCAGCTCACTGCAACCCCCGCCTCCCAGGTTCAAGTGATTCTCCTGCCTCAGCCTCCTGAGTAGCTGGGACTACAGGTGCCCCACCTCACCCACGACCCTGGGCTAATTTTTGTATTTTTTTTTTTTTTTTTTTTTTTTTATTTTTTTTTTTTTTTTTTTTTTTTTTTTTTTTTTTGAGACGGAGTCTCGCTTGTCTCCCAGGCTGGAGTGCAGTGGCGTGATCTCGGCTCACTGCAAGCTCGCCTCTCGGGTTCACCCATTCTCCCGCCTCAGCCTCCCAAGTAGCTGAGACTACAGGCACCCGCCACCACGCCCGGCTAGTTTTTTGTATTTTTAGTAGAGACGGGGTTTCACCATGTTAGCCAGGATAGTCTTGCTCTCCTGACCTTGTGATCCACCCGCCTCGGCCTCCCAAAGTGCTGGGATTACAGGCTTGAGCCACCGCGCCCGGCCTAATTTTTGTATTTTTAGTAGAGATGGGGTTTCACCATATTGGCCAGGCTGGCCTCGAACTCCTGACCTTGTGATCCACCCACCTCGGCCTCCCAAAGTGCTGGGATTACAGGCGTGAGGCATGACACCCGGCCTCAAAGTATTTTTCTGTTGAGAAGTATGAAAGCCAGCCCATGAATTGCCATGGGGGAGGGCTGGGAAAAGCAGGTCATGCCAAGTACTCCACCTAGGATAACACTTCATAATTTTTTACCAGATCTTCTCACTCTACTCACTCAGATGTTGAACAAAAATTAAGACCCTAACATCTCGTATCATTTTGGACAGTGATGCCCTAACTTTAACTCCTATGGATACTGCGACTTTGGGATATACATTTTTTTCCCTAAATTGATAGCCAACAACACAAACACTGAATCTTGTGATTGCCATTTTCACATCAATTTGAAATCCTGCTTTATCACTTTCAAAATGCTCATATATGGATGGGTTTGTTTTTCTATGTTTTTAAATATGGTTCTAAAGAGCTATTCTAAAAACCTGTATGTGAACCAAGACATGTTACTATATAGTTTCTATATTTTCCTACTGATTCTTGGTAATTTAATTATCTGAATAAAATTCAGAATCATTCAGTCTAGTTCCATAAAAACAAAACAAAACTGGGACCTAACCTAGTATTTTAAGTTAATTTGTTGAACACTGCCATTAAAAAACATGTATGTTCCCAACCAGAAGAATGGTACATTTTACAATGGTTGGAAATATTTAAACTCAAGAATTACCTGTAGGATGTTGTTTGGTAATTCAAAGGAGAATAGAAAGTAATTTCATTTTCTATTTCTGCATATTGTGTTTTTATAAAGAAAACACACAATACACTTCTAGTCTAAATACATCAGCCAATAAAAATATCTTCAATGTGGATTCAACCCAGAAACCAGAGAAAACCCCAGAAGACTTAAGCAAAGGTAAGGTATTTTTTTTTTTTGAGACGGAGTCTCGCTCTGTCGCCCAGGCTGGAGTGTAGTGGCCGGATCTCAGCTCACTGCAAGCTCCGCCTCCCGGGTTCACGCCATTCTCCTGCCTCAGCCTCCCGAGTAGCTGGAACTACAGGCGCCCGCCACCTTGCCTGGCTAGTTTTTTGTATTTTTTAGTAGAGACGGGGTTTCACCGTGTTAGCCAGGATGGTCTCGATCTCCTGACCTCGTGATCCGCCCGTCTCAGCCTCCCAAAGTGCTGGGATTACAGGCTTGAGCCACCGCGCCTGGCCAGGTAAGGTATTTTTAAAAATGGACCTCTTCCTAAAACCTAGAGCTAGGATACTTGCAGTCACCTAGATATTATATAATAAAACAATCTTCTACCCATGGACTATGCCTGTCTCCATGAATTAACTAATCCCCAAACTCTCCCGAGGCCGACTCTGTGGGGTCATGGTCTGGGGAACACAGAGTAAATCAGCCACGGTGTCTTCCAAGTCTCTTGTTCCCAGTTAGGACAGACAGACATCACAAGACAAGCTCTAGTGTTGTGGTTTTGAGGCAGAAATGAGACAAAGAAGAAAATAAAATTTAAAAAGAGAAAAACAAGCTTTCTGTATTAGGCTGACTCACCCTAAAGGCGGCAGCAGGCAAAGCCTGGACCCAGGCAAAGTCTTGATAACATTATCAAAGAAGCAAAGGCTCGAAGGAATATGCTGTGTAGACTCTCCCAGCACTCCCTCAACATAAGGATAAGAAAAGTTCCCCTTAGAATCCCACCTCCCTCCGTGTGATTGTACCTTGCTCTGCAAGTTTATGAGGTTATAGATTCCTGTTTTCTGTAACTAGTAACTTCAAGTATTCTGTTTTATCTAAGCAGCACAGTGCAAGTTTTAAGACATGCCTGAGCAGGCCTGGGCTGCAGCCATCTGGGCGCCACAGCAAAGGTTATGAGATAAGCCCATGCAAGGCTCTTTTGAGCAAACCTAGATAACAGCCATCTGGGCTGCATAAGCAAGGGTCATATGTGATCCTGAGTTATGCACCTGTCACAATTTGATTAACTGCCTTTGTTCTGCCTCTGTATCCTGGCTTTTGCACCACTACATTTTGCACCACTGTAAGCTTGTTTCAAGTTAGCCCACCCACTTTTAGAAGTGTGTATAAAAGTCAAATGCTGTCTTTGTTCTGGGCCCAATTTTTGGATGTTAATCCCCTGGGTCTGAGTGCACTCAATAAATCATCTTGTCTCACCCTGTGGTCTCTCTGGTCCTCCTTCATACCGGCAATAGCTTCTGTAACATCCAGTATACAGTGGAAGGAATGTTCAAGTGTACCTGCAAAATGATACTGGAATAGTATTCATTTCCTCATTTCAACCTATTTAAAAGTACTCTCTCCATCAAAGTTACTGACACAGGATTTTTCTTAGCCATATTGCCAACCGAGGACCTCCACAGCGGGCGACAACCCCCCGCCTTGACCTCACTTAGCCCTGGGCCTGCCACTGGAGGTACCCCGCCCTCTTGGCTGCCTGTATTATTATAGCTTATACCCACGTTCAGCGGTTCTGAGCACTTGTCCCGAGTCCAAGAAGAATGAGGATACACTGACAATTGAAGGGTGAGGATGGGTAGAAAAGAATTTTATTGAGTGAAAGAACAGCTCTCAGTGGAGAGGAGATGCAGGGAGTGGTCCCCAACTCCCACAGCAGGGTGATTTCTCTCCCACTGTGGCTGAGACTGGGTCTTTTATGGGCTCAGAATAGGGGAGTACATGTTGATTGGTTTGCAAGTATGCAAAGGCATCACTCAAAGGTGGGCACAGCAGTGTAAAAACCAATTAGAAAAGGACAGGAATATGCAAAATAGGTGAAGGGTTGGGATCAATCGGATGAAAGCACACCAAATGGGAAGACAGGTTCTCAATTCAGTATGAGGATTTAGCTGAGACTGTCTTCAGCTTTAAGGTTGTGTTTCACCGGGTACCCACCCCTATCTGTCTGGGCATTTGACTGCCTCTGGCCACTATCATTACCTGACCAGGCTTTCACAATCCACCATCCCCAGTGAGGAAGGGCAGGGCTCCTGAAAATGAGCCATCAATTCTCCTTCAGGTGGATGGAGATACAAGTCTTACCAGTACAGTCTCATGCACAATCACACATACAATGTCTCCACTTTGGTATCTAGCAATGGCTGACAAAGCCACAGCGCTGTGTGCATCCTCTGGTGTCTGATGAAGTATGACTCCTGGGTAAGGCTGTACCACATTCCCTGTACACATGAAGTTTCTATCCTGAGTGTGTCCTCTGATGTCTGATAAGGTTGGACTTCCGACTAAAGCCCCGCCCACACTTTCTGCAAATATAAGGCTTCTCTCCTGAATGTGTCCTCTGGTGTCTAATGAGGTGTGACTGCCGGTTAAAGCCTTGCCCACACTCCCTGCACACATGAGGCTTCCCCCCTGAGTGTGCCCTCTGGTGTTTAATGAGAGTTAACTTAGCACAAAAGCCTTGCCCACAATCCCTACACACAAAGGCACCTGAGTGTGCCCTCTTGTGCCTAAACAGGTTAGGCTTCTGCCGAAACCTTCTGCCACACTCTCTGCACATAAAAGGCTTTTCCCCTGAATGTGTCCTCTGGTGTGAGACGAGGGTGGACTTATCATTAAAGCCTCGTCCACACTCCCTGCATACAAATGGCTTCTCCCCTGAGTGTGTCCTCTGGTGTGTGATGAGGGTTGATTTCCGGGTAAAGCCTCGCCCACACTCTGTACATACAAACGGCTTCTCCCCTGTGTGTGACCTCTGGTGTTTGTTAAGGTTTGACTTCAGGCTAAAGCATTGCCCACACTCCAGGCAGGCATAAGGTTTAACCCCTGAGTGTGTCCTCTGGTGTGTTTTGAGGTTTGATTTCCAGCTAAAGTGACGCCCACATTCTGTGCATACATAAGGCTTCTCTCCTGTGTGTGTCCTTAAGTGTCTGATGAGGTGTGACTTCTGGCTAAAGCCTTGCTCACA